AACTTCTTTACTCAGAGGAGATAGTTAAAGATTATTAATAAAAGAACTCAATATCTAACTAATAATTAATCTAAGATATTTCATTATATGAAATGCAAGTATGAATACAAAAATTCAATAAATATATAAACTATGTCAAATAATATATTTGGGGGCCCCTAATATTTTCTAAAAAACGGGGCTTAGTTAGGCGACTATCTCACCCGCCTATAGTCAGAATCGGTCATGAAGCTAATATTAGTTCTTTCCAGATTTGTCAGCAATTAATAGTCTAAAAATATACATATTCATCGATTGAAGAGGTGAAACAGAATTGGAAATGGAATTTTGTGAAATAAGAAGAGACAAATTAGTCAAAGTTTAGACGAATATTTCCAAATGGTAGCGTCACAGGCACAATTAAATTTGGGCTGATTTTCCGATAAGCTTTTGGACAAAATGCAAAAGAATATAAGATAATAATGGATATCTAATGGAAACTATGTCTTAAAATAATCCTCTTTCCACAGAATAAACTATAAAGCAATCCGCACATTAATTAATTAATCAATTATATAATTTAATTATTTTCAAACCAAATATTACGAAATGTGCACTGGGGAAAAAAATATTATCATCATATAGATATATGTGTTTTCTTTATTTAAAAAAAATTATAAATAAAAAAATAACAATAATAATAAGGGTAAATTATGGCCACCTCCTAAGTTATGGTCAAATACGAAAATCTCCCTCTTGTTTAAGTAATTACATCCACCCCATCAACTATGTATTATTTTACGAAAATATCTCTCCAGAGGCAAATTTAAGGGTGTTAAATCGGTAAAATCAAGCCAAAATTTAGGTACGCCAACATTTCATACTGTTTACCGAGCTAAATATACGATTTGGTTCGGTAATAATCAAATTACATAAATTTTATGTACAAATATTTAAAAGGAGGAATAGCCATAATTACCAAAAAATAGGATTTTTTGTAATGTAGCCATACTTCACAAGTGTACCTAATTTGCCCTAATAATAATTAAAAGAAAGAAAGAGATGGGGTTAATGATTGGCAGCAATACAGAGGCTCCCCTCCCCTCGTGCATGTTTATATTGCACCAAAAATAATAATTAAAAAAGAAATGATGAAATTTTCTGGCATTCCATTTGCTGACACATTTACACAAATAAATTAACTTTTGCTACTTAAAGAAAAAGAAACCCCACTAAATGCAAAATCTTCATTTTTTTTCTGAAAATAAATAAAGTTCCCACTTCCTACTTACACAACACACCCAAACAGCACTAGAAAAAGAAGACACTAATAAGACTTTTTTTTTTTTTTTTTATTTGTTGTAAACGCGCAATTTTGAAATGCGATTTGTGTAACTATTAATGAATAAATAGTTATTCGCCATATTAAATATGTTCGATTTTTTATTTTTTTTATTTGTTGTAAACGCGCAATTTTGAAATGCGATTTGTGTAACTATTAATGAATAAATAGTTATTCGCCATATTAAATATGTTCGATTCGCACAATTGAAACTAGTCTGCAATAAAATGTTAGTATTCAATAAAAATCACCCCACCCTTACCATTAATTTTACAAATAATTTAAAAAGGAAAAAAAAAGGATTTTTTTTCTAAATAATTCAGATTTATTGTATGGTGATTTTATTTTATTTTTTTTGAAAAATATTGTATGGTGATTGGTTTGTTCAAATTTACCATTCCTATGCATGGAAGAGAACGGGCTAAAATAGTTTCGGCCCGATAAATAAATCCAAATATATGCAAAGCCTTGTGGGCTCAAGCCCAATTGGTAGAGATTTAAGGGTAACTTACATTCTCACGACAATTTTGTGGGCTTTATCAAATTTGAGTTTCATTTTGTTTGCATCTCACCATCAATTGACCCGATTTTTTTTATATACTGATGATGTTAAAAATAGATCACCTCAAATAGTTGAGATATGATGAGCTGGAAGAGCAGAGTGGATCACTGGCTCACGAGCTTGATGACCTTGAGATACCTGCGATCATAGAACACGTGAACTAGGCCGGGGGTTGATCCGGCGGAAACCCCTCCGACGCTCAAGTGAGACGTGCGGATCATGGAAATAGTTGGGAGAATATGACCCCTCGTATTATTTGGATAATAGGGCGTACCTTTAACAAATGAATTATATCGTTATGTATACCATAGATGAGATCGTTGAGCCCAAACCTTATTTGAAGGTGATTGGGCCTCGGTGATATTAGTCTTCAATATTGGGCTCGTGGCCCAGTAGGTAAATAAATTGTAAGTCCATTGGGTTGGCCCAATTAGGCATATCATATACTATGCTCGATGAAGATTATACTGGTTATATCGTTTCCGTCGATCTATACATATGCCAGGTGTCATCAGGATTAATGTAGTTGTTGCATTCCCACCGAATAAGGATTATTACGGTGTTTCGATGGTGGCGAGAGATCATCGGGGTTCGTGCATATTGTGGAAAGTGAAGAAGATGGAAGGCAGACCAAATGTAGTCGATGGAGAGGCATATGCGGTTCTTCATGCTATGCGTGTTGCTCAAGAAAATCATTGGAGTTCGATCATGATTGAAGGAGATAATTTGACGATTATCGAATCACTTCAGCAAGGCGAGCCATCAACCTCATCGTTTTGGGTAATAAGTTGGCTCATGATTTAGCTTTTGAGTGAATTAATATAATGTTATTTTCCATCAAAAAAATGTCTGTATGTATGTTTTTATGTGCTTATGAATTGTAAAAATATATCCAATATGTTTCACCCAGTGTAGCATAGTATGAACCAACCGACCTTTATTATATTCTGCATCTTGCTCACAAATTCAATTAGTATTAGGTCCAGAAATCCAAATGAATTTTCTGGATTCTGTCGATTTCAATATGTAATTTTTTTTTAATTTTGGAAAAATATTTTTCATTACGAAGTCCCGAAATTCTTATTTCCAATTTATAACATTTTTTTTCATTCTGAATTTCGAAGGATTACTAAGATTGAAAGCGAAGTATATATGATAATTCAATTTTTTTTATTCCAATTTTAATTTTAGAAAATGATTATGATTTTCTTTTTCTCTCTTTTTTTACTGAGAATTACACATACAATAATTAAATATATAGTTATTAATAAATTAGGATGCCTTTCTTGAATTCCACATATATAAACCACCCACCCCACCATTTTCGTACTTATTACTCAGCCAGCCATTAAACAAACACCACCACCAACATGGCCACGCCACGCAACTTCCTTCTCATCTAATAAAGCTGCTCTACTTTTATTAATATTATAATAATAATAACAATAATAATAAATTATTTTTCCATTTTGTATTTATATATTTTTGTAGACCACATAATTGCGGCCTAACCACATTAAATAAATCTCCAATAATACGTTTACCAGCCAACCAAGAAAAAAGCAACCCCATTATTTTCTTCCCAAAAAAATAATTAATTAATAAATTTATGAGATAATAATAATAATAATAATTAATTAATTCAAAGGACAACAATACCCCCCACCCTGCACCGAATTTACAACAAAGCACAACCCCCGCCGTGGCCCGGCCCGGCCCGACCCGGTCCAAACCCCCATTACAGAGAATTAATCAAACTCAACTACCATCTCGACCGTCGATTTCGTTTGATCGTTTGTCTAATTTTTGTTTTTTTTTCTCGCTTTTTTTTCAATCAAACCTTGAGAAGTTTCGCAGCTCGGATCACCGGATTTTCCTTGGCAATCGCGTCCCGGCCGGCCGCCTTGTAGTCGTAGCTGCAGTCGTGCCGATCTGAGTACCGATGCTCAGAGCAGAACACGTCGCCGCACCGGCACCGGAAACCGACCAGCCCGATTCTCTTCCTGCAACCCGAACCGGAACACCGAGTCGCCTCCCTCGGTCTCTTCAACGACCCCCGATTCTCGGCACGGTTGACCAGATCGGGCGAAATCGCGCAGCTGGTCCTCTGGCTACAAGCGGCGGCCGAAATCTTCGGATCTGAAATCTCCGGCGATCTGGTGGACGGAATCTGAGGAGGAGGGGAAATCGTCTGCGGCGGGGTGCATATCGGTATGTTTTCGGGAACTTTGAGCTCAGTTTCTTCCTTGTCTCGCTTCTGAGCCATAGATTCGGCCGGGATGAAAGGTGTTCTAGGTTAGCGGTGGGGAAAGAGAAGAAGAAGAAGAAAGAAGAAGGGCTTGGTGTGCAAATAAAAAAAAAGAAGAAATGAAATGAGTGGAAAATGAGGAAATGGGAAATGTGTGGGTTATATTTAGGATTTGGGATAAAATATGGGGCGACTATTTTAAGGTGACGACGGAGTGTTGTGGGTCTTGTTTGAACGCGTATGGGCATCAGGAGTTTGTGGTGCTTCTATTTACATTATTACCCTTCCTTTCTTTTTCTTTTTTATTTTTTATTAATGACGTTGGTCCCCGGCAATAATTTCTGGGATCGTTTTTTACTTTTTTTTTTTTCTTTTTCGATCTATATCGAAAACAAAAAGGGCATATTACAAATAAGCCCATCAGTGGGAACTTATTTATAAAGAGATCCAGACAATATTCTCCTTTACCAATAAGTTCACACATGGTCCAGATTTATGTAAAGGACTAAAATAACCCCTCTTACTTTTATATGCTTCAATTTCATCCTTAACTTAATTTAACTTCAATTTGACCCCAAATTTCACAAATTATTCATTTTGACCCAAAACTTTTTTTTTTTCACAAAATTTTTTTTTTCAAAAACTTTTTTTTTCCGCCAGATTCCGGCGTTGACTTTTTTTTTTTTTTTTTTTTTTTTTTTTTCTTCCGGATTTTTTTTTCCGGATTCCGGCGTTGACTTTTAATTTTTTTTTTTTTTTTTTTTTTCTTCCGGATTTTTTTTCCGGATTCCGGCGTTGACCGGCGGTAAACACCGGTCTCCGGCGTTGACTTTTTTTTATTTTTTTTATTTTATTTTTTTTTTTATTTTTTTTTCTGTAACTTTTTTTTCCGTTTAAACAACAATATTGCTTTGAATGACAGTAATATTAACTATATTACTGTTAAACACAGTAAAAATAACTAAACTATAGTTTAACACAGTGATATTGCTATATTAATCTCTAGCACATTAATATTAACACAACAAAATTCATTATTATTGTATAATAAAGTAATATTACTATGTTGTCCGTTCAACAAATATAAACAAAATAAAAAAAACCAAAAGAATTAATATTACTGTGAGTGACAGTAATATTACTATAGCAACAGTAATATTACTATAGCAACAGTAATATTACAATAGTAGACAGTAATATTATTACGTTACTCCGTGAATAACTCAAACAAACAAAATATCCAAACAAAAGAATAATATTGATGTGGTTGACAGGAATATTACTATAACAAACAGTAATATTACCGTCAACCACAGTAATATTATTGTGTTTACAGTAATATTACAATAATAGACAGTAATATTAATACAAACACCACAAAAAAATAATAATATTGATGTTGTTGACAGTAATATTATTGTGTTTACAGTTATTTTACTGTCAACGACAGTAATATAATTACGTTGACTTGTCAACAAATCAAAAAAAAATAAAAAAAAATAATAATAAATAAAAAAATATAATATTGCATTAATTTACTGTCAACGGCAACACAATTACATAAATGTAATGTCAACGGCAGTACAATTACGTTAATTAACTATCATTGACAGTATAATTACGTTAATTTACTGTCAGTGACAGCACAATTGCGGTCAACGTTTAGCGGCGGACGTGGAAAAACAAAACAAACCAAACAAAACAAAACAAAAAACTTAAAAAAACACTAAAAAAAGAGACCGCCGGAAACCGGCGAAAAAATCCGGAAGAAAAGAAAAGAAAAAAAAAAAAAAAAGCAAAAAAAAAAAAAAAAAAAAAAAGTCAACGCTGGAAACCGGCGAAAAAATCCGGAAGAAAGAAGAAAAAAAAAAAAAAAATTTAAAAAAGTCAACGCCGGAATCCGGCGGCAAAAAAAAAGTTTTTGAAAAAAAAAAATTTTTGGGTCAAAATTTAATAATTTGTGAAATTTGGGGTCAAATTGAGATTAAATTAAGTTAAGGATGAAATTGGAGCATATTAAATTATACTCCAAAAAAAAGTCAAAATTGAATTTTTGTGGTCAAAATTGAACTTTTATGGACAAAATTGATTAATTTGGATTACAATTAAGAATTGGGTATAAATGGTTGAGGGTAATATTGGGATATACATGAATGTTTCCTTTAGTTATAATAAATATTAAAGGGATGGGCTTATTGGTAAAAGAGATATGTCCCCTAAACCTAGAATAATAAACATGCTTGGTTGGGGACTTTTGCATAAAAATCCCAAACAAAAATACTAATATTCCTTTATTTAATGCTTTAGATTTTATTTTTTTTTATTTTTTTTATTTATGGTATCTTATATTTGTTTATATATTTGTTTAAATTAAATTAAAAATGTGTGAGGTTTGCTATTTGACTTTTTGCAATTGGAGTGTCGTGTTGCAGGATTTTAGACACCAATTTTGACGAGATTTAGGCAATGTCCACTATGTTAAAATAAAATTCATAACAACATTATGGGCCTTCTTTGGGACTAATGAATTATATCACTATAGAAAATTAGTCTAGAAAAAAAAATATTAAAAAATTAATAATTACAAAGATGTAACCAAAGAAAGTGGAATAATAATAATAAAATGTAGGGTCCTAGTACAGTAGAGATGAGTTGTAGTCGACATATATCATCATTTTAGTTTATATTTATCTCAAATTAAAAAAAAATAAGGGGATAAAGAAAGAACAATTGAAACAACATTACGAAAATACTATTAATCTATTATAGTTACCCTAGGGTTGTGATAGCTAGTATTAACTTTTTTACTTTTTATTTAAATGAAGTAATCGCAGCCAACTATATATGTACGGATAAACCTACATTATATATACAACGTATGTTATGTATACGTGTGTGTGTATAAAAGCATAAATAGAGTAAAAAAAACCAGCTAGCGAAAATAATCGATAACATTCATACACAAGAATACATGATCATAGACAGACAAACAACGTAAAAAAATCCAGCAGATCGATCCTAATATAACATCGAAAACAAACAAATTAAAAAACTAAAAATAAACCTCTCCCGATTCTAGATCGTCGATCACCACATGATAATGTAGCTAGCAAAGTTTTCAATCTCGAAATATAAATATATATATCTAAATATCATTCCACATGGTAAAAAGACCGGGATTAGACGAACCCTGAACCGTAGTCTCTCCAGACCAACCGGTGTAAGTAGCCGCATTGTCACCCGAACCCATATGATCGTAATCCACTTTCACCATCGCCAGCTGTTCCTCAGCCGAACCCGACCCGCCTTCCCCCATACTCATACCCATACCCATACCCATTCCCAGAAAACCCGCCCCGCTGTAACTCCCACCGGTACTCGTGCTCCCGTTGTGATCCATTACGGAATTCGACGTCGACCCCATGTTGTTCATCAACCCATGCAGCAAAACCGGATCATTACTACTCTGTAGATAATTACCATAATACCCCTGCTGCTGCTGTTGAAGCTGCAGCTGTGTCTGAATATAGCTCTGGTAATGAGACGACGATTCTTGATTATTATTGTTATTATTGTTGTTGCTGTAATGGTTGGAGAGATGGTCGTGGTTTTGTAGGGTTAGTAAAGGCTGAGTTTCGTAGGGGTGGTGGTTCTGCGTGAAAGGGTATGATTGGAGAGGTAGACCTATGCCGCCGCCACTAGGGCTGCCGTACTGGAAGGTGGTGGTGGACCCTAGGGATATCATTTCTTCGCGTTTTCTAGAAGATTCTACCGCCTGAGCTTCTTTCAGGCGTTTGGCGGCACCACCACCTATTGGGAGGGTGCTGCTCTCGAGAATGGCTTTCACGTCGTAGCGGTTCATGTCGAAGTTCGTTACTGCGTTTAGACCTCGGAATTTTATTGCCGCTATGTCGTACGCTTCTGCCGCTTCCTCCTCGGTGCCTGCAAAAAGAAATTAGGGTTAGTGTCTATAATTTGAGTTAAAATAATAATGAAGTGAAATATATAAATTATATATATCTTACTGAAAGTTCCTAAGTAGAGGTCTTTGTTTCCGGCGACTCTTCCGATTCTTGCCTGCCACCTTCCATGCTGGTGGTGCCTGTTTATATTATTGATTTAAGTTATTTAATTTAAATTAAGAAAAAATAAATAGCTATTTAGAGATCTAGAGATTATATATATGTTACAATTGCTGATGCTACAAAATTTTATATGAATTATTGTAATGGATTAACGATCGAAAGAGAGTTGGTTCGGGATATATATACCTTGTTACGCCACGATACATTGATGCTCCCCTCGAAAATCCGCTACTCTTCCTGATTTAATTAAAAAAAAAAGGATGATTAAAATAAGATTTCTGAATATTAGCTGACATAATAAACAAGTAAGCTATAAAGGAAAAATGAAAATATATTATCCAAAAACAAGAAGTTGCAGTGAAGAACTCAGAAAAAGCTATTGCAGAGAATCTGCAATATATAGTATATAATTTTCTGACAAAATCTGATTCTTGTAATATACAATATTGCATGTTTTAAATACATTTAGTTTCTTGCACAATTAATTAATTATTCTTCTAATCATTTTTCTTTCGACTCGAGTTTGGTGGGGTTTAGAAACGATGGCAAATATTTTACCTTCTGATTGAAGCCACAAATTCTTGCCTTGTCATATTTTTCATATCCTCGATTTCTTTCTCATAGTTGCTGATCTGCATGCGATTTACAACGGTTATAGTATATATAATTATTCGTATTTGTCTTTCGTTATTACAAACAAAAAAAGAAATGTAGGAAAATTGCATACAGGGAAATTAGTAGTGGTGGATGTTCCCCAGTATTTTAGTGCAGCCATATCATATGCCCTAGCTGCCTTATCCTCTTTATCGTAACCACCTGTTCGATGAACGAAAACAATATTAATTTAAAACTACTATAAAATTACACAAACCATGTAATTTGAGTTAACGAAAAATTATAAAACTTACCCAAATACACTGCACCGAGCAAGAAAGTACGGTCGAAAAATAACACGAAAAATAAGTTAGTAATTTATTAATTATTAGCAAATTAAACCAAGAATATATATATTTAATTTAATTAACAAGGAAATTAATCCAGACGATTAAAATTACCTTGACGCCCTTTCCGAGATTGGCCTTCCCGTCTGCAACTATTATCCCATAGATGAGCCTCATACCTCCCGGTCCACCGATGTCTGAACCACCACAAATATAGAATTAATTTAAAAATGAGATAAATAATTAAAATGAAAAATAAATTAAAATTATATGAATTAATCTCACCTAGTAACACCTCTATATATAGATGTTCTTTGGCCAAAAGTGTCCAAAGTCCTCCTAGGGGTAGCAGCCTCAACAATACTAGTCGTCGTATTTTCGGCAATCGCAGTTGCTGAGCTGGCGCTCGTCTCACTGGTCGAACCCTTGTTATTACCACTCCCCATTGAAAGAGTCAATTGCTGCATGTTGCAACCGTTTTCTTGAAGACTTTCGTAGTTATTATTTGTGACAGCAGATGCAAGAGTGTGCTGCACCGAGACCAAGCTATTGCTCGAAAACATGTAGTCGGAATCGCTCGACTGGATTTCATTGTAAGGTATTAGGGCTGCGTGGTGGTCCGATTTGCTCACCCCTAGGAAATCGGCTACTTTCGGAACTTCGTTCGCTTCTTGATTGTTGATTAAATTCCAGTCTCCATATCCTGCAAATTAAAAAACAAATATCTAAAAATCGAAATTTGGATACATAAAGATGATATAAAAAAAAAGGGTTTTACGAATAAACTTGCCTTGGTTTTGAAAAGGGGTTTCGTTGATGTTGTCGTTGACTAACCCTAATGAGAAGTGGTGGGATTGAGGTGTTTGAGTGGGAGAAAGAGGGAAAGAAAGCCAGTTGTTGGAATTCATGATGGAACCCTAATGATGTATATCTTGTGTGTAGCAATCAGTCTGAAGTTCCTGCACATGACAAAAACAGGAAATTGAATTACAATCATGTAAACATAAAGGGAAGCATATATATAAAAAAAAATATATGAGATCTGAGTGAAAGATCTTGCAGACTTAATAAGAAACTGACACAGCTTTACCCTAATGAAAAAGGGCAGTAACAGAATGTTTTATAGCTCTCTCTCTCTCTCTCTCTCTCTCTCTCTCTCTCTCTCTCTCTCTCTCTCTCTCTCTCTCTCTCTCTCTCTCTCTAAATATATGAAACAGTATATGAAAGAACAAGATAGATAAAGAAAGAGGGAGGGAGAAAAGATTATTAGTAAATATGGATAACTGCTGAAACCCTAGCTACAGTAGTGTCATTTACAAAGAAATGCTTTTTATACTTGCTGATATATATACTATACTATATCTATTTTTATGTATGTATTTAACATATCTTGTATGTATCACTATATATATATATATATATATATATATATATATATTTCAAGTGTATGTGATATGAAATAAACTTGTGGTCAAAGATGGAGTAATTAGTGAAGAGTTGCAGAGAGTATGATATTAGCACGAGTGTCTTATTTGTTTTACTACACTGTGGTCCTTTGATCAACACAAATTAACAATTCCAACTGTAAGAATCCACCCCACCCTTACCCCCACCCCCACCCCCCACTAGGTTATTTATTGGGACTCTCCTAAATCCTCGTTCTGTGTAAAAAATGACACCCCAAACCCCAGCATTTCCACGTCAGCAAAATCATTTACCCCCACTATAAAAATCTATTTATTCCGAGCTGTTACTGCTGATTCTTGAACCATAATTAATTTTCAAGACAAGTATTATAAGATCATCATATTTAAATAGATACATATATACTAAGCTACGTATATATTTATATATGAATTTATGTATAAATATAATTGTGTGTGTGTGTGGGAGTGATCAAGAAATGCATGTAGCCATGAAAAACAAGTACGTGGATCCCCGTGTGAGCCTGCATGTAATTGAAAGCTAAACGTGTACGGACATTGCATATTATATAGAAAATATCCGACATATTAAAAATTAAAAAAAATAATAGAGAGAGAGAGAGAGAGAGAGTGAGAATTACTCAATAAATTAATTAATAAAGATTAAAAAATAAGAAAAAAAGGATTGGACGATTTGGTTTTGGCTTTTCCAAAGACGAAATCTGTTGACCGTCGAATTGGAAACCGCATTCGTCAAAAGGCTCTAAACAGTTTTTTGTTTAATTATTTATATTTAATTTATTTTTTTACTGCCTGTAACAAAAGATAGTACAGAAAATAAATTAAAATAATCAAATTTAAAATTACATAGGTAGAATTTCAGCCTCTTTGTTTCTGTGCCTTGTGTCTTCCACTCACTGGTTCAGTCAAACAATTTTCAAACGCTACACCATTGATGGAATTTCTCAGTACTGTTAACAACTGTGAACTATTTATTTATATATTATGGAAATATAATTTAAAATGTAAACTTCATAAACCCTAAATGTATGTATAATGTATATATAATAATCTTGAAAATAGTGAAGTGGGGAGGCATCGTAAGTTGGTGAGAGAAGAAGGGCTGTGGTGGGATTCAATATACTACTACTAACAGCCACTTAATTATTATTATAATTAATTATAAAGACCCTCATTTAATTTTATTTCCTTTTTTTTTTTGTTTTTGGATTGACAGACCGCCACGCCGATTCAGGTAATTAGGAGGAGGAATGTGACAGACACGCGTCAGTTTCTTCTCTTCCATGCATTTTTCCAAGAAAATAAAAAAAGAATTGATCGATCTTTGCTGCTATTGGACCACTGTTGCCTTTTGCCCGCTGATTATCCGGTTCATGTTTGCATGCATGCTATATATATACCCATGCAGTATATATATATTTCCAAATATTAATTTTTCATTTTTTACCGTTGCATGCAAATCACTGTAAATCTTGACCATTTTTTAATCTTTCTTGTCCCTTAATTTCTTGTGTATTATATATATATTAAAAGTATAGTATAGTATATAGACATTAATAATGATTTTGAGGAAGATGTTTTCACTTTATATATATAAATACACACACACACTGCAAATTAATTCTAACCCTATTCTGTTTCTGATTAATTTAGGAAAAAAAACAAAGTATATATAATTAAGTTAAAAGATTAAATAAATTGAATTGATCCAAGAAGATAAGTAATTAAGAAGACTATGAAAGGTAGTGATAAGTCAACCTGATCAGCCAGCCAGCCAGCCAGTAAGTAATTGCGCCACCAACAAAAATGACCATTTGGATCCTCAACAGATTTTATTTAATTTTGCATTAATCCATATGACTAATTTAATTTCATTAATTTAACTACTTGCAGTAAATTAATTTTCTCATGCATTTAATTTTTACAGGAGGAAATCAACACACACACACAAACATGAACAACGAACCAATTTAGTGTTTTGAAAGTTGAAATTATATAGAAACAGTGAATGAATGAGAAAGAGATTAATGAGGGGGTGGGGGGGGTCGTAATTTGAGGTGGACAATGGGGGGTAAAGTTGGAAGAAATGTACACGAGAATCTAGAGAGAGAAACAAAAATTGATAGTTTCAAAGAGAGGGGGGTGGTGGGAGGGAACGCCGGGAAAGTGCTCGTGTCGCCTCGAGATGGAGCATTTTGTTAATATTTCTGGAACCCACTCTATATATGCTTGTGTTAATTAATTACTACTATTATTATATTCATTAATATATAATTAAGTAATTTCTTGAATTAATTACGATAGGTTTAAGATTCTAGGGTTAGGGTTTCGTAGGGTTGTTTTCTTGGGGACAATAATTTAACTAGGGTTTTTCCGATCGCTGAAACCCCTTTAATTCATGCGTCCAAAAATTCCTTACACTATGATACTTATATACACCCAATTACTAGATAATTATGTTTGGTAGAATAATCTACACCTTGTGAAATTCATCTTGTTTTTTTACTCTTTTCTTTATGTATTTAGTGGCTGAATAGTTATTTATGTAAATTTACGATTTAGAATTATATGGTATATTTCACTAGATGTATAATATATCTCATAAGTCATAGATTATATTCTTATCCTTATCAAGAATGTATGTGATGAAAAATCTTTTGCAATTTGTTAACAAATCCATTCTGAATTTTATACGTCAATATATATAATGCGCATATACATACAACCTCCAAGAATTTGAACTCGCGTGTTTCCCACACTTAGAAGTGGATCTCAGTACTCTCAATGAAGAACAAAGATGTGGAAACTAGCTAGGTTAAGATTCAAATTGCATGTGTATTTATCTTACATCTTTATCTCTCCTCTTAAAAATTCAAATTAAGCGAGTTTAGGTACATCCATCGTCATCATCAACGAGCTAGAGTATCCCGGAAGCCGATATAAGAAGAACTGAATGCGGTGATTTCTTTTTAAGCTGTCTAGTAGGAAAAATATGCTAATGAGTTGGATTAATTAATTCATTGGGCCCTATTTTCACTTTTCACAAAGATTAAGAAACTTAATAAATATATCTTGATTTTAGAAAAATCATAGAAAAATGACTAAAACAACCTTTATTATTTAATGATTTATAAGAGAAAATTAATAATCAGATTTTCATTAATAAGGTTAAAGCAGGAAAAATGCATTTAATGCAGTATTGAAAATCTGAAGTGACTGACAATATGGAACAAAAATATTTTAAAAAATAGACAGTTATTATGGAACAGATGGAGTAAATTCAATGTTTACCATATATTGGTGAGTAGATGATAAATTCATCGAAAGTGCGTAGGTGTAGCACATAGATTTGACAGTTATCTCAAGACTTATTGTTTATATGTAAAAAAAATAAAAAATCTTACCCCAACTATATAAGTATATTATGTATATTCATTTAATCAAGTTGTGTACTAATGTTTGGACACCCCATGAGAAGAATGGAAACAAATGGAATTTTGATACAGATACAGAGGAAATTAATAAGAACGATATTTAGTAATTGGCAAGGCATGTGCACGCCATTGTCTTGTTCTATGGGACTCAACAATTTATAATTAAATTGTTCTCAATTAATAATTAATTATTCTCAATTAATAATTAATTATCATTATTATTATAATTATTATTGTTACTGTAATTAAAACCAGGGTATGTGTATGCATCGTTAAAGGAGCTCGCTCGCTTGCAGTGTTTTGGCAATGGATCCTAGACTGGGGTGAGATAAATATCTTCTGAAATTAATAATAAATTTTTTGACTTTCTTGTTTGTTGGACCATCTCATTTTGTAAATTAATTAATTAAGCGGGTTTATTGATTTTATGGATTAAATAATAATTTATTTTTCCAATTGCTTTATTTTAAATGAAATTCTGATCCTCTTTCAATAAATTTATTTTATTGACTAGAAAACTCGATCGCATTCATGCGAAGTGCACAAGTAAACTATGTCCCCATACAATAGTTTGCAAAGAGTAGATAGATGTGAATTGACCATATGTGACCGGTTCAAACTAAATAGTGTTGAAAAATGTAACAATTTTAATTAACTTAATCAAGAATTGTTATGACGTTATAGGCGATATTTAGGCAAAATTAGTTTTTTAGTTGCGACTTTTAGTCCACCATGTTTCAAAATCAGATTTTTAGTCGTGTAAGTTATAAAAGTTGAGAATTTTGATCCTATGACCTGCTATAATAGGTAATCTGATGGTTGGTTGAATGAGTTGACATTTAAAATATAAAAATCAATAAATTAAAAATAAATTATATGATGTGGATCAGGGGTGGTAAACGAGCCGAGCCGGCTCGCGAACTCGACGAGTCGGCTCAACAAAGGCTCGAACTCGAGCTTCGGACGAGCTCGAGCTCGAGTCCAAATTTAGTTGTTCGACAGCTAGCGAGCCGGCTCGCGAACTGCCTTCCTCTTCTTCTTCTTTTTTTTTTTTTAATTATATATATATATATATATATATATATATATATATATATATATATAAAAAAAAAAAAAAAAAAGAGAGAGAGAGAGAGCGCGCGCGCGCGCGCGCGCGCGCGCTCGCACACGCACGCGCGCGCGCGCGCGCGCGCGCGGGGGGAGCGAGAGCGAGAGTGTGTGTGTGTGAGAGAGAGAGAGAGCGCGCGCGGGGGCGCGCCGC